CCACTACTTGCAAAGTGCCTACTCGCAAACGTCCGAAAAACCATACATCTGCTATTGCGTAATCTATAGTAAATCCCCCGCGGCGGATCGAGGCCACTTGCGAGTAGTTACTTTGCGAGTAGTGGAACGCGCTCGTCTATCCACAGCAGGCAAAATGCCAGCCCCCCCGTCGTTCCTGACAAAAACCCATGCAGAGTAATCGCTGGGCGTCCGCGCACAATCCAGATTTTGGTGCAACGTGCATTTCGTATGGTGTTTTGTGAGAGGGACGGTTGAGGGTTGTTGGCACTGCACACATCAGGCAGTTTGCTGGCCCCCTCGCCGTTCTGGTCAAAAACCAATGCAAAGTGATCGCGGGGCATCCACGCACAATCCAGATTTTGGTGCAAAGTGCATGTTCTTTGGTTTTTCGACAGGGATGGTTGGGGGTGTTGGTATTGCACACAGAGGGCACTTCTTGGCTCCAACAAAAGTTCCTTGGAAATTCTCATGGGGAAGTATGCACAGGTGCGCTCACTGACCGCGTGACCTCATAGCCCCAAAGTGGTATCACTCGGGCCCCAAGCCACCGACGATGACCTCCAAGCGAAACTGAGATGACCCCATCATGGGGCCATTGGCCCAACATGATCCCGACAGGGCATCTTGAGAGTCTCAGGCTGCCTGTGCGATGACCAGTCTGATGAGCAGCAGAAGATGGACCCAGGCGCATCAAGGGCGACTCCAAATTGACTGAGCGACGCCCGCACAATCCTAACATGACGCGAGTGCGATCTGAAAACGACCTGACGACAACTCCAAGATGCACCCAGTATCGTTCGCAAATCGACGCAGTGGGCGGTCCGGCGACCTGCATATCGTGCGAAGTTGATTCCAAGATGATCCATCATGGCTTCCAGAGGCCCTGACGAGGGGTCCGCGGCGACAGGACGGCGAGCGCATCACCTGAAGATGGCATCAGGACGGCCCCACCACAGCAGGTGTCCGTGAACTTAGGAACTCCAGCTTGCGTCCAGCCGATCCCAACACGGCGGGATCCTTCAAGGGCCCGAGATTTTGGTTTCCCTTCTTTTAATGGGTGGGATTTTGACCTGGCTGAATCAAACTTATATAATAGTTCGAGGGGCTGAGCTCGGCGGGATCCCGCCCGACCCAGGAAGAAAGACCATCTCGCTAGGCTTCTACGGGGGCAAGGGGTTCGGGAGACGCGCTCTGACTACCTTTGGTCGCACTACCCCCCGCTGCGGTAGGCTCTGGAGGTCTTGTTGAGGGCTGGCTGGCTAAAATCCTGCCGCAATCGCGGCGCCACCAGATCTGTAATCGATGTGAGAGCCCACGGAGACGCGCGAGGCGGACGACAGGCGAGCTTGCACTGCAAAGGTGCTGGAAGAGAGAGCCGAACGTCCTGCCCCCGGCGCACCGCCGCCCCTGCGAGGGTGGCGCGGCGAGGGTAGCCTCCCTAGATCCTCTGGTCCCGGGAGGGCCACGGGACTGTGCCGGACAAGTGCGAGCCCCGCTCCAGAAACTAAGGGCTCCCTCGAGGGCGCGAAGTTATTCGCGCTTCGCGCTTCGCGGTCCTCGTTCCTTCTCCTCCTCCTCCTCGTCCTCCTATTCTCCCTTTGGGAGGGCGGCGCGAGAGCGCGAAGTTATTCGCGCTTCGCGCTTCGCGCTGCGCGAAGCGCGAAGTTGGGAGCCCTAGGAAACTCACTGGCCACCCGAGCTCGAGCGCCCAAACAGAAGATACGAAGAGCGGATCTGACCCCCACTCCTGGCGCGACCTCGCTGCACGGCGTCCGGGGTGGGGTCGACGCGCCTGGGTGCGAGCCTTCTTCTTCGCCTTGGATTCATTCGGCCCCCCCTTTTCAGCCACGCGCAGAGGGGGGTGGGGGGAGGGGGGAGGGCTTCTTAGAAGCACCCCTGCTTCTTAGAAGGCGCGGGCCTCATCTACAGATGTGAGGCCGGCGCCTTCTAAGAAGCAGCCTGCTCCTAAGAAGCCCCCCCCCTCCCCCACCCCCTTGTGCGCGCCGCCAACCTTTGCCCCCGCCCGAACGGAACGCTCACCGCTCCACTTCCTGGGCGGCGCGGGCTGCTACCACCGCCGGCTTCCGCCGCCCTCGCAGTCCTTCCTGCCCAGGGGCCAATGCGGCAGACCCCAGAAGATTTGCAAGGGCTCCCACGAGGGCGCGAAGTTATTCGCGCTTCGCGCTTCGCGGTCCTCGTTCCTTCCCCCCCTCCTCCTCGTCCTCCTTTTCTCCTTCTGGGAGGGCGGCGCGAGAGCGCGAAGTTATTCGCGCTTCGCGCTTCGCGCAGCGCGAAGCGCGAAGTTGGGAGCCCTAGATTTGCCAAGTTCGGCTCTCCGGGCCCATTAATCTGGACGCCCGAAATGGGTACCGAAAGAATGGGTACAATGCCCAACAGCAGTTCCTGTTCATTTTGAGCAGGCCTCGCTGTCGACGCCGCCGCGGCCTGTGTCCATTCGAGACTGGAGGCCGCCTGCCCAACAGCGGCCGCTGTTGGTTTGGGACAACATTTGTTGTTGGGCATCGTACCCATTTTTTCGGTACCCATGTCGGGCGTCCAAGATTAAGTAATCCTCAGGATGGAGGCAGGGGTGGACCTAAACGGTGTTTTGGCGATTTCGTGGGCCGTTTTCGTTTCGATGTCGTCTTGCGTTAAAGGCGGATTGAGGACAAAACGAAGGAAAACGAAAACAAGACGAAAACGAAAAACACCGTTTAGGTTCAGCCCTGGATGGAGGACTGAGGCTTGAGGGCTTTCAGCAAGGACCTGGGGATACTCCAGGTCGTGCCTCGAGGGCACGGCGGCGGACGCGTGCGTCGCCCCGCTACCCCCAGGGGCGACGCGCGCGCTGATGGCTCCTCTCGCACACGCTCGGCGGCGGGCGCGTTCTGGCCATACCGCCAGGGCAAGGATACACACGCGTATAATTACATAATTACACCAGAGAAAAACCCAATCAGTGGATGGTCTTCGCTGAGGAGATCGACCGGGAACCCGGGAGCCGGGGAACCCAGAACCTTCCGAAATCGGCCCGGAACCAATAACCGGGATCCCGGGAACCCGGAACCGGGAACCGGGGTACCCAGCCTGCTACCAAAATCGGCGGGAAAGTTTCGCCGAATCTTTCAACTTCGCTAGGACCCCTTCAGTGCAAGCATTGATAGGGGAAATACGTACATACATCCATCCATCCATCCATCCATCCATCCATGCATACATACATACATACACATACACACATACATGCATGCATACATGCATGCGTACACACATAGTTACATACATACATACAAACACACACATACATACACATACACATACACACACCTGCCAACTTACCAATCGAAACATACATACATACGTAGCATACATATACACATACACACATACACGTACATACATACACAAACATGCATACACGCATGCATGCATACATGCATACATGCATACATGCATACATGCATACATGCATACATCCATACATCCATGCATACATACACGCATATTTACCTACATACATTCATACATACACACATACACGCAGTCATCCATACATACACACATACACACAAGCATACAAACACATAAACTTTCAACCATACATACATAAATACATACATACATACATACACACATACACACATATCGACCTACCTACCTACCGACTTACCTACCTACATACATACATGCATACACATATAATACATACATTCATACATACATACGTACATACATGCACACATACACACATACAGTCGTACATACATACAAACACACAGACATACATACATGCACACATATACACATACGCACATACATACATACATACATACATACATACATACGTACATACATACACACATACACACATCCATACATACATGCATGCATACCTACCTACCTACCTACCTACCTACCTACATACATACATACATACATGCATACATACATGCATACACACATACATACATACATATTCACATACATACATACATACATGCATGCATACATACATACATACATACACACATACGCATACACACACATACATACATACATACACACATACACACATGCACATACATGCATGCACACATGCATACATATATGCCTTTATACATGCATACATGCATGCATGCATGCATGCATACATGCATACATGTATACATGCTTACATGTACAGGTGATGCATGTAAGCACGTAAACATGCATTCATGCATGTACACATACATACACGCATGCATGCATACATACATACATGCATGCATACATACATATACACATTTGCATACAAACATACATACATACATACATCCACACATACACACATGCACATACATACATGCATGCACACATGCATACATATATGCCTTTATACATGCATACATGCATGCATGCATGCATACCTGCATACATGTATACATGCTTACATGTACAGGTGATGTATGTAAGCACGTATACATGCATTCATGCATGTACACATACATACACGCATGCATGCATACATACATACATGCATACATACATACATATACACATTTGCATACAAGCACACATACGTACATACATACATACACACATACACACATGCACATACATACATGCATGCACACATGCATACATATATGCCTTTATACATGCATACATGCATGCATGCATGCATACATGCATATATGTATACATGCTTACATGTACAGGTGATGTATGTAAGCACGTAAACATGCATTCATGCATGTACACATACATACACGCATGCATGCATACATACATGCATGCATACATACATACATACACGCATCCATACATTCATATGTGCATGAACGCATCGGTACATGTGCGTATGCCCGTGCATATGCACACTGCCAAGATGATGGTGATGGATGTGCTCAGTCTGGACGCGCGCCTCCCAAGGGCGGGGGGGGGCATCGCATCCGTGCGCTTCTCGGCGCCCCACCCTCTGCGCCCGGCCCCGACCCCAGGTGTGGGGCGCCCGCGAGGCCCAGAGCCTCCACGGCGCCCCGCTCCGCTCCGCCATCCGCGCCCTGCACCGCGCCCGCGCGCTGGCGGCGGGCCTGCGCCAGCCGCAGAGCCTGCTGCACGGGTGGATGCTGGCCGGCCTCGCCGAGCGGGCGATCGGTCGGGGCTCAAGAAATCGCCTCCTCCTCCTCCTCCTCCTCCTCCTCCTCCTCCTCCTCCTCCGCCTCCTCCTCCTCCTCCTCCTCCTCCTCCTCCTCCTCATCTCCTCCTCCTCCTCCTCCTCCTCCTCCTCCGCCTCCTCCTCCTTCCTCCTCCTCCTCCTCCTCCTCCTCCTCCTCCTCCTCCAGGGGGGGGGGGAGCTTTCCCGGCCCCCCCTCCCCCGCGGTGGCAGACCTCAATAGGGGGCCACATGCGAACCCGAACCCTACTCCTACCGCCCACGATTTCGGAGGGGGAGGGTGGGGTTTACTTCGTTCGAGCGTAGTGAACCCACCCTCCCCCTTCAGAAATCGTGGGGGGTAGGGGTGGGGTTCGCATGTGGCCCCCCACTCAAGAGATCTGGGCCTCCCATCCCAGCTGGGGTCGGAGCAGATGGGGGTCGGAGGATCGCGCCGCACCGCCGATGCATCGGCGATGCATCGTCGGTGCGGAGCCCGATTTTCTCCGCGCCGGCGTCGATGGTACACCGCCGACGTCGGTGATGCATCGGCGGTACATCGCCGATGCACTGGCGACGCGGCGCGGTCCTCCGACCCCATCTACTCCGACACCATCTAGGAGGCCTCGAAGAGAAGGGGGTCAATGCAATCGGGGATCCGCCAGAGCGCCGGATCTTGCAGGATCCTGCAGGGCCAGGGGTCGCACTGACCGGGGTTGGGGTGCAGGATCCTGCAGGAGCCTGCAGGGCTTTGCAGGATCCTGCAAGGCCTGATTGAGCCGGGTCTGGATTGACCCGGGTCAGTAGATCCCCGAATCGGGGGGCGCCGCAAGCCTCGAGGAGCTTACTTTTTCTACGCCGGGCGTTTTTCCTCCCGGTTTGAGGCATTGGCACCACCTTGATTAGATCGATCCGGCCTCGGCACGGTGGACACGGGTGCCCGTCAGTCGTTGAAAGTAGAAATCAGCAGGCATTTCTGGATTCCCAGACCCCAATTTGCTGTGGGTGCCTTCCTTTTAGAGAGTCGAGTGGTTTCTCCCCCTTCCCACCTCTTCAGGGGGCGGGCGGACGCCAAAGCTACTTTCAGCGTCTTCCTACTTCATGTTTCTACCCACTTCTTCCGACCGACGTGCACGGAAAGCACGGGGACGAAGGCCGACAGCAGCTCTTGTCCATCTTGACAGGACTCGCTGTCGGTGCCGCCGCGGATTTGGTCCAGTCGAGACAGAAAGTCGCATGCCCAAGAGTGGCCGCTTCTTGTTCTGGGCTCATTTCCTCCGTACTCATTCCGGGCGTGCCAAAGGCTGCACGGGTGAATGATGGCCGGCCTCGCCGAGCGGGCGATCGTTGAGCGCCCCACGCCTCGAAGCAGATACATCGTCGGGTGAGGAAGAAGTGCCGCTGCTGCTGGTTCGTTCTGGGGAGCCCCCGCTGCCACGGCTGGATTCTCTTCGAAATTCTGGTCGGAACGCACCCTGGGAGAGGTCTGTGGAGTAGCGGTATCAGGACTTTTTGCCCTCCCCCGAATCGGCGTACAGTCGGCCCGTATCATAAGGATGTGTGATAAGGATGCAAGGGCCTTGGGCGCCTATTTCGAAGCTTTTTGAGCGGGGCGCGGCCACCGAACGTGGCCAAGGATGGACCGAGGAGGCAAGGATGCAAGGGTAACCCTCGGGAAGGTTGCCCATCCTTCCTTTGCGGGTTGACCGTAAAGATCAGTTCTCGGAGCCCTTACAAAGTCTTCTTATATCAGGCGGGGGGGCAGGCGTCTCAGGAGGCTGGGGGGGCTCCGAGAAGGCAGGGGGCCCTTGCCGAGAGGGCGTTCGAGGGAGCGCCCCAGGATTCGAGGAAGAATGAGAAGCATCTTCGCGATCATGCTGGCCGTTGAGAGTAGGTGTAGCAATTCCCAGATCCCAGTCAGCCCACGTCAGGCGGCCTCCTGCTTCGAGAGCCTCGATGTGCTTCTGCTGTGCTTTTTGTTTTTCTGGGAGGGCCTGCACCCACTTGGCTCCTCTCCGCCTTCCTGCTTCGTGGTCTCTCGCCCGCTGCTTATCTGCCCGCGTGCAGGAGGTCCGCGCGGACTCTCTGGGTCGGCGCTGGCCCTCCTTGGCGCGCGCGGCGCGCGCGGCGCGCCAGAGGCGGCGTGTGCCGAGTTTTTCACGGGGCCCGCCGTCGGCGTCGCCGCGGGCGCCGTCCGCTCGAGGCCAGGCGGCGCCCGCCCGGCAGCGGCCGCCAGTCGGCTTCTGCACGCATTTTTTTTTTTTTTTTTTTTTTTCCCCCGTCGTCCAGGTCCTCGGCAGGAGCAGCCGATGGTGTGTTAGAGCCTGGATGCAGTCTGGCACGGATCAAGAGGTCGAGAAGCATGAGGAGCGGCAGCGCGACGTGAGGGGAGTGTACGTCTGCTGCCAGTCGGGCAGGCGCAGAGGGGGGTGGGCGGGGGGGGGAGGGCTTGTTTGAAGCACCTCGGCTTCTTAGAAGGCGCGGGCCTTACCCATAGACGTAAGGCCGGCGTCTTCTGAGAAGCAGCCTCCTTCTAAGAAGCCTTCCCCCTCCCTCCACCCCCTTGTGCGCGCTGCTGAGTCAGGCGTCGTGCTTATTTTTTCCAACCATCCTGTGGTGTTGGGCCCCCCGTTTTGAAGAGACAGCGCCCCGCGTCTTCTCTCCTTTCTCCTCCCCCTCCTCCCTCCTCCCATCCCTGTCTCTGCCCTCCGCATGTCTGTGCTTCGGCACATCCGAGGCAACGCTCGTGGCCCCGTAGGGAGCTCCACCGAAAGCCCCAGCGGCAGTGTCCACATGGCGCCGCCGCCCCATTTTGGCGCACCCTCACACGGTTCGTAGCCCCGTAGGGAGCTCCACCGAAGGCCCCAGCGGCAGGGTCCACGTGGCGGCGCCGCCCCACTGTGCCGCACCCGTCACACGGCTCATGGCCCCATCGGGGGCTCCACCGAAGGCCCCAGCGGCAGGGCCCAGGGCCCACATGGCGGCGCTGGCTCGTTCTCGCGCACCCGTCCCACGGGTCGCAGCTCCGTCGGGAGCTCCACCGACGGCCCCAGTGGCAGGGTCTACCTGGCGGCACCGCCCCATTTTGGCGCACCTGTCACACGGTTCGTGGCCCCATGGGGGGCTCCACCGAAGGCGCCAGTGGCAGGATCGGCGGCAGCTCATTTTGGCGCACCCCTCAAACGGTTCGCATCCCCATGGGCAGCTCCACCGAAGGCCTCCACGCGGCGCCGCCCCATTTTGGCGCACCCCTCACCCGGCTCGTGGCCCCACAGGGAGCTCCACCGAACGCGGTGCCACAGCCTTTCGCTCACAGCTTCCTGTAGCCGTCTTCGTCGTAGTAGTCGTAGCAGAATAAGTCGTAGAAGTCGTAGCAGCAGTAGTTGTAAATGGTTGGGCTTGTCGTCAGGATCACTTTTTTCCCCGGGCCCACCTCGGGCGTGCCGATCCGGGCGCGGAGGCCCGTCGAGATCGAGCGTTCTGCGCGGTGTCTGCCGCCGCAGCCGCTGCCTTCACGGCAGGAGCCCAGCCGCGCACCGACACGAGTGTTGGCCAGTCCAAGCTTGGACCCTCCTCCTCCTCCTCCTCCTCCTCCTCCTCCTCCTCCTGTACAGCTGCAGTGGAGAACCCAGGCATGCTCGCGCCGTGGCAGAAATCACGGCGGCGGCCTCTGGGGCCCTCGCTGGGCCCCGAGAGCGTCAGCAAACGACGCGGGAGGGAAAACTGGCCCTGGGGACAGGGCCGGGACTTCGGGGGCACCGTTTTGAAAAGTCAAGACAGCGCATGTTTGGGCAGAGACCACCGTCCCCGAGAACCAACTGGCGGCGGCACGGCCGGGCGTCATCCAGCACCGGACGACGCTCAGGCGTGCCACCGCCCAGGGTCGGCCCCATGGGCTCTCGGTGACGGTGGTGTCCGCTTCTCCTCCGAGAGTTGGCGTTCCCCCAGGTGATGGAGTTCGACAGCGACGCTGGGCCACTCATGGAGTTCGCCTGCGCGCGGGGGTCCCCGGGCGCAATGCCGAGCGGGGCCGCGGGCGGGCTGAGGGTCTGCGCCCGGAAGCGGCCGCTGCTGCCCTTCGAGCTGGAGGCGGATGGCTGGGACGCCGTGGAGGTGTGCTGTCGAGAGAGCGCCGTGCTCTGCCATGACGGCAAGATCCATCGCAGCGGGCGCTCTCTGTCGATGGTGCACCGGCGCTTTCCGCTGCACCGTGTGTGGCCCGCTTCGGCGACCACCGAGGATGTGTACCGCGACGAGGTCGCGGAGCTTCTTGCCGTCGCCCTGGGCGGGGGCAGCGCCACCTTGCTGTGCATGGGCCAGACGGGCACAGGGAAGACCCACACGATGTGCGGCGTCGCAGACTGCCTTGTGCGAGACCTGCGGGGCCGGGGCGTCTGCGTGGAGTTCATCGAGATCTACGGGCGGAGGTGTCTGGACCTGCTGGCCGACCGTGCGGAGGTCCTGCTCCGCACCGACCAGGAGGACCGCGTGTGCGTCAGCGGCCAGAGGCGGGTGGAGCTGCCCGACGGCAGTGGCCTGGCGGAGGTGCTCCGCGCCGCGCTGGCGCTGCGCGCGTGCGAGAGAACGGAGCGGAACGAGGCGTCCTCGCGCTCGCACGCTGTATGCACCCTGACCCTGGCCGGGGCGGGTGCCCTTCGGCTCGTGGACCTCGCGGGCAGCGAGCGGAACTTCGAGACCACCATGATGACCGCGCAGCAGCACCGCGACTCGGCGGAGATCAACTCGTCCCTCATGGCCCTCAAGGACCCCAGGCCTCCCAAGTGGGGGTCAGAGTAGACAGGTCGGGGAATCGCACCACATTACCGATGCATTGCCGGCGCGGCTCAATGTGGAGCCAGATGTTATCTGGGTTGTTAACACCGGGTTTGAATTTTAACAGTTTAGACTCACGGTCCAGGCGTCAATTGTTGGAACTTGCACATGCACATGGGATCAGTCGTCAATCGTGTATGACATTGCGGATATTCGCAACATTGTGCAGCCTGTGTTTCGTTTGGTCGCGGCGGGTTCGCCCTTCGAAATTGTGCAACTTATTTATTTCGAACAGACGACTTGTGCAGCTTTTTTGATTGGGAGCCAGCGAGTTGTGCACCTTTCTTCATTGAGACTCCGACGAAACGGCAAAGGTTGCACTTCGCCGGTTCCCACTAAGAAAACAAGCTACACAGATCGTCAACTTTGAGCCGAAAAGGTTGCAACAGTTCGAAAACCGAGCCCGACCCGACAAAACGAGAGAGGTCGAACAAGTCGTTTGTTCCCGAGACAAATAACTATACGAGTCGTCAGTTTTCATTCAAGGTCTCACAAGTTTGAGAACCGAGCCCGGCCCGACAAGACGAAAAACGGTTGCGCAACTCGTCGGTTCTCAATCAAACAACTGCACGAGTCGTCAAGTTCGAATTCAAACTAGAGTTGCACAAGTTCAAGAACCGATCCCGACCTGAAGACGAAAAATGGTGTTCAATTCGTCGGTTCCCAACCAAAAGAAGCCACACAAGTCGTCAGTTCTAAGTTAATCATCCCAGTGCGACCCTACCTAGGAGTTGGAGCCCCTAGGAAAGCAGCATTAGTAGTAACAGTAAAGCTAAGCTAAAGCTAAGCTAAAGCTAAGCTAAAGCTAAGCTAAAGCTAAGCTGAAGCTGAAGCTAAGCTAAAGCTAAGCTAAAGCTAAGCTAAGGCTAAGCTAACACTAAGCTAAAGCTAAGCTAACGCTAAGCTGAAGCTAAGCTAAGGCTAAGCTAAAACTAAGCTAAAGCTAAGCTAAAGCTAAAGCTAAAGCTAAGCTAAATCTAAGCTAAAGCTAAGCTGAAGCTAAGCTAACGCTAAGCTAAAGCTAAGCTAAAGCTAAGCTAAAGCTAAGCTAAGGCTAAGCTAAAGCTAAGCTAAGGCTAAGCTAAAGCTAAGCTGAAGCTAAGCTAAAGCTAAGCTGAGGCTAAGCTAAAGTGAAGCTGAAGCTAAGCTAAAGCTAAGCTACAGCTAAGCTAAAGCTAAGCTGAAGCTAAGCTAAAGCTAAGCTAACTTTAAGCTAAAGCTAAGCTAAAGCTAAGCTAAAGCTAAGCTACAGTTAAGCTACAGCTAAGCTAAAGCTAAGCTACCACTAAGCTGAAGCTAAGCTAAAGCTAAGATAAAGCTAAGCTAAAGCTAAGCTAACACTAAGCTTTAGCTAAGCTAAAGCTAAGCTAAAGCGAAGCTAAAGATAAGCAACAGCTAAGCTAAGACTGAGCTAACACTAAGCTAAAGCTAAGCTACAGCTAAGCTAAGGCTAAGCTAAAGCTAATCTAAGGCTAAGCTAAAGCTAAGCTACAGCTAAGCTAAGCTAAAGCTAAAGCTAAGCTAAAGCTAAGCTAAAGCTAAGCCAAGGCGAAGCCGAAGCTAAGATAAAGCTAAGCTAAAGCTAAGCTAAGGCTAAGCTAAAGCTAAGCCGAAGCTAAGCTAAAGCTAAGCTGTGCCTAAGCTAAAGCTGAGCTAAAGCTAAGCTAAAGCTAAGATAAAGCTAAGCTAAAGCTAAGCTAAAGCTAAGCTAAAGCTAAGCTAAATCTAAGCTAAAGTTAAGCTAAAGCTAAAGCTAAAGCTAAATCTAAGCTAACACTAAGCTAAAGCTAAGCTAACACTAAGCTGAAGCTAAGCTAAAGCTAAGCTAACGCTAAGCTAAAGCTAAGCTAACACTAAGCTGCAGCTAAGCTAAAGCTAAGCTAAAGCTAAGCTAAAGCTAAGCTAAAGCTAAGCTAACACTAAGCTAAAGCTAAGCTAAAGCTAAGCTAAAGCTAAAGCTAAAGCTAAAGCTAAGCTAAAGGTAAAGCTAAGGCTAAAGCTCCCAGGGGACTGGGGGAACCGCGGGGCGGGGACTGGGGGCGCCCGGGGCGTGTAGCACTGCCCGGCTTCTTTAAGCTAGAGAGTAAGAACCCTTCTAGGCAGAGCCTAGGTAGGGAAAAAACGGTTGCACAAGTCCGAAGACCGACGAGACGACAAAGGTTGCGCTACCCGGCGGCAATAAACAACATCTGAATACGTCGTCAATCTCAACGCAAAAAGGTTGCACGAGTTCGAGAAGCGATCCCAACCCGACGAAACGACAAAAGGTTGCGCAACTCGTCAGCCTCCAACCAACAAAGCTGCACACATCGTCAATTCCGAATCAAGAAAGTCTACAAGCTCGAAAACAGAGTCCAAACCGACGAAGCGACAAAGGGTTGCACAACTTTGTCGGCTCCCAATCAGGGAAGCTGCACAACTCGTTGATTCGAAGTCAAAAAAGTTGCACAGTTTGAAAAGCGGGCCCAATCCGACGAAACGACAAAGGTTGCACAATTTGTCGGTTCCCAATCATTGTCAGTTCTGGTACAGAATCGTTACACAAGTTCGAAGACCGAACCCAAACCGACTGAACGACAAAGGTCTCACAACTCGTCGGTTCCCCATCAGAAGAAGCTGCACAAGGCGGCAGTTCCAAATCAAAAAGATGGCACAAGTTCGGGAACCGGGTCCGACCCGACGAAACGACAAAAGGTTGCGCACTTCGTCGGTTCCCAATCAAGAAAATTGTACCAGCGGTCAATTCTAAGTCAAAAAGGTTGCACAAGTTCGAAAACCGAGCCCAACCCGACGAAACGACAAAAGTTGCACACCTTGATGGCTCCAATGAGATGAGCTGCTCGAGTTGTAAATTCGAAATCAATTTGAAATACAAGTTCGAGAAACCGAGTCAGATTTGACAAGACGGGTCAAGTTGCCCAATTCGCCGGTTCTCAATCAAAAATTGCAGATGTCGCCCATTTTGAGGCAAAGAAGTTGCACACATTCGAAAAACAAATTAGCCCAGACCGACGAAACGAGACACGTTACGCAACTCGTCGGTTCCCAACGGCAGGAAGTACATACGTCGTCAGTTCTCATTCAGAAAAGGCTGCGCAAGTTAGCAAAACCGGGTCCAACCCGACAAGACGAAAAAGGTTGTACAAATCGTTTGTTTTTTAGCCGGAAGCCGCACAAGCCGTCAATTCTCATTCAGACAGGTTGCACAAGTTCAAGAACCGAGCCCGGCCTGCCCGATTAGACGAAAAATGGTTGCACATCTCATCTTTTCACAACAAAGTTGCACAAGGCGTCTGTTCTCCATCAAAAAGATTGCACCAGGTCGACAATTGAGCCCGACCCGACAAAACGAAAACAAGTTACACAATTCGTAGTTACTCAATCGAAAAAATTGCACAAGTCGTTAGCTCGCAATCAAAAAAGTTGCACATCTTCAAACACCGAGCCCGACCGGACAAAACGAGACACGTTGCGCAATATGTCGGTTCCCGATCAAAAGAACTGCACAACTCGTGAGTTCGTGTCAAAAAATTGCACAAGGTCGAAAGCCGAGCCCGGCTCGACGAAACGAGAAGGTTGCACAACTCGTCGCTTCTCAATCAAACATTTGCACCAGCCGTCAATTCTCAATCAAAAAGGTTGCGCAAGTTCGAAAACTGAACCCGACCCGGCAAAACGAGAAAGGTTGCACAATTCGCTGGTTCCTAATTTGAGCAGGAGCACAAGTCGTCATTTCTTGAGTAGAAAGGCTGCGCAAGTTCTAAAGCCGAGCCGGTCCCGACATAGCGAACACCTTTGCACAGTTCGTCGGCTTCCAATCAAAGAGCTGCACACGTCGCCCAGTCTCAATCCGACAACCGAGCCCAATCCGGCAAAATGAACAAGTTGCACAGATCGTCTTTTCGTCAGTTCTCAGCCAGACAGGTTGCCCGAGTTCGAGAACTGAGTCCGTCCCGACAAAACGACAAAGGATGCACAACTCGTCGTTCCCCACAGGTGCATAAGTCGTCAAGTCTTGCAAAACTGTTGCACAAGTTCGGCAACGGAGCCCAGACCGACCAAAAAACATGCAGCATAATTCGTGGTTTCCCAATGAAGAAAATTGCACAAGTCGTCTGTTCTCAATCGAAGAGATTGCACGAGTTCGGAAACCAAGCGCCTGGTCGTACACGAACGTAGAGAGAACTTGCCAGACCCCGCGTTAATTCACAAGACTTTTAATTCACGAATTTAAGCCCGAGTCGAGGGGTGTGTGAACACCCAAGGTTATCCGCGCCTGTGTCGCCAGTCCGTCGCCGACGTCTCCGATTCATCGCCAATGTATCGGCGATGCGTTGGCGATGCGGCGCGATCTTCCGACCACACCTACGGAGACACCCATGTTGGAGGCCTGCAAGGACTGCTTCCGCGCCCACGCGGCGCTCCAGCGGGGCGACCGCGCCGTGCTGCCGTTCCGGCGCTCGCGCCTGACGCGGGTGTTGCGCACCTGCTTCGTGGACGTGGCCCACAGGACCGTCGTTGTCGGCACGGTCTCACCCGCCGCGGTCGACGTGATCCACACGGCCAACACGCTGAAGCACCTGGCGATGCTCTCCAAGCCACTTGCGGACGCCGCCTCCGAAGTGACGGTGAGCGTGCCCCTCGGCACGGGCGCCAAGGCTCCGTCACAAAAATTTAGATGCAGACGCCCTCCAATCGATGGTTCTTGGGCCTCAGGGAAGGGTGGCGGTGTGCAAATCACCGCTGAGGGCCAGCGACTTTCTCCGCCGCCGCCCTCCCTGAAGGGATGTGCAACGTTCGTCGGAGGGTGTCCGTGCATATATATATATGTATATGTATATACATGTATATATATATATATATCGATGATCCTGAGGACGTGTGTTAGCCCAATGTGTGCTTTCCTTTCTCGGCCTGTGTCCCGCCATCGTTGCACCGCCCGCATCGTGTGAAAGGGCTTCGGCGCACAAGCACACGTTGGCGCTAACACACACTCTCAGGATCATCGAATACTTCCGTGGCGCAAATCACCACTCGCCAAGCCACCCCAACCCAACCATTTCCAGTGGGGGGGGAGTCCGGGAACATCGAAAAAACACGTATGGAGCCCATACCCCCCCAACCCGAAATTCGGATCTTCGGGTTGGGTTGGGGTGGTTTGGTAGGTAGTCAGCAAAGGCCGCGCCTGGCGGCGCGCGCGTGGCCGAGTGGTCGCACGCCGACGTGCTCGCATGGCTCTCGGAGGCGGAGAACGGGCGCTTCGCCCACGTGGTGGTGCCCCCCGGCCTGGACGGCGCGCGGCTCCTGGCCGCCGGAGAGGCCCGAGGAAGAAGAGCCGTCGATGGTGTTCATTGCGCATCGATCGCACGTGCACGCTTTCGGAAACCGGAGCATAGACATAACCAGTGGCGAGCTGTTTTTCAATCCCAGGACCTGAGGGCCGGGAACGATACATATATACACACATGTGTAGATGTACATGTATATATATACATATATATATATATGTATATATATATATATATAGATTTGCATGCTTGTATGCACATCTATAGATATATCGAGCTATATCATTATATACATCGATATACGTAGTAGTATGTTACATTTGTTTGAGGTTTTCCTGCGTAAGCAACGAAACATGTGTACACTGGGATCCCGTACGCACCAGGATCTGCTGTCCTGTGAGAGTTTCGGTGAAGGGCCTGAAAACGCGTCGCTATAGAAAGTTCAGCTCCCCACAACGTTTCTCGGCGAGGCCAGCGCCAGGGAGGAGGGAGGCAGGGAGGCAGGGAGGAGGGAGGGAGGAGGGAGGAGGAGGAGGAGGGAGGGAGGAGGGAGGGAGGGAGGAGGAGGGAGGAGGAGGAGGGAGGAGGGAGGAGGAGGAGGGAGGAGGGAGGAGGGAGGGAGGAGGAGGAGGAGGAGGGAGGGAGGAGGGAGGAGGGGAGGAGGGAGGAGGGAGGGAGGAGGGAGGAGGGAGGGAGGAGGGAGGGAGGAGGGAGGGAGGAGGGAGGCGGGAGGAGGGAGGAGGGAGGAGGGAGGAGGGAGGAGGGAGGCAGAGAATGGTGACCATGTCGTCACGTCTTGGGCCATCCCGAGAAGAGGAAGACCGCGCGCGAAGCCAAAGCGGTGCACGGGGAAGAGGGCGGCCGAGCGCTGGCAAGCCTCGGGACGCGTGCCGGCCCCAAAAGTGCGTGTGTTGCCCCGGGCAGCTCCACCGATGCCGCACCTCCTTCGTCGTATGGACGGGTCTCCGCTGGGGACGAACACACGCTGGAGCCAACCCGCGTCCTGGGGATCATCGAGGCCCGCGTGCACACGAGCTTTGGGAGCTCCGTGCGGGTCTCTCGGATCCGCGCGGGGGCCCCCAGCGCGCCCGGGGGGAGGGGGGGTCCAGCGCCCATCCTGGAACTTCGGGTGGGCCTCCGAGAGCTCAAACGTCGATGGTCCAGACGCCGCCTGCTGCTCCTCCAGAGGCTGGCCTCGCGGAGCTCTTCGAGGGCGCGATGCGGCGCGGCCGCGGGGAGAACGAGGGCGATCTCGGAGGGCGCCAACTGTTTGCATGCACCGATCCCGGCCAGGCCCATCCTGGGCCCTGGATCGGCGTGTATGCCTCCCTCCAGCGGGCGAAGAGCGGTGACGCCCTCCCCAGGGCGGCTGGAAAGATTCTATCCCCACGTGCCACCGTGCGGCGATAGCCTCTTATGCCTTTCTGCGCCCCCCTAATCTGAAGTCGGGCATGTCCCTCCACAAGAGGAACATTCAAGAATAGATAACAAAAGTACTCTAGGGACGATTTCTCTCTACCACTCTGAGTTTCTGTGAGCATTGCTTGATTTTTGTTACTGTTCTTCCAAACTCCGCCTGTAGGAGGACATGCCCGACCTAACCCCCAATCCCTGGCCGAGCGAGGAGGGCGAACCCTCCGATCCTGGGCCCCCGCTGGGCCCGGCCAGGAGCGGTGCGCCTGCAGCATCAGGAGGGGAGGATCGGCGCAGGGCACAACCAAGCGCCGGTCTTCACGAAGCTGGCTGGGAGGAGGAGGAGGAGGAGGAGGAGGAGGAGGAGGAGGAGGAGGAGGAGGAGGAGGAGGAGGAGGAGGAGGAGGGAGGAGAGGAGGAGGAGGAGGGAGGAGGAGGAGGAGGAGGAGGAGGAGGGAGGAGGAGGAGGAGGAGGAGGAGGAGGAGGAGGAGGAGGAGGAGGAGGAGGAGGAGGAGGAGGAGGAGGAGGAGGAGGAGGAGGAGGAGGAGGAGGAGGAGGAGGAGGAGGAGGAGGAGGAGGCGGAGGCGGAGGCGCGGAGGAGGAGGAGGAGGAGGAGGAGGAGGAGGAGGAGGAGGAGGAGGAGGAGGAGGAGGGTTTTTCCACGAAGCTGGCTGGGAGAACCTGAGAAACGGAGGAGGCGAGAAGCATCCAGGAGGTGTGGGAAACACGGGGATTCCTGAATATTGTGCCCGTGCCGTCGACCTTGAAGGGCGACGACGGCGTCGACGTCGACGACGACGTCGGCGACGA